AAATTATGAAGAAATATATCTTTTCCTGACAGTGTAAAACTTCTATATGACAATAATCAAAACAGAATTGCAAACAGTATATTAAACCATCTCTATAACTCAAATCCAGCTTAATATTTAAGTTACGCAGGGCCAGGTTCTGGTGCAGTGGTAATACAACTGGACCCCCATGGAAAAAGGTCCTAGGTTTGTGTCCTGGAAGCTCCCTGAGCATGCTGGGCTGGCAACGTAAAGACCCTGTTGAGGATGCCTATTTCTCTGTTTTTGTCTCTCTGCCTCTCTCCCAAAGGAAATAAAGAAATAAACTTTGAAAAAGTAATTTAAGTGATTTCTAGCTGATGTCACTCAGCATTTAAAAAATATTTAAGTTATAGCAAGAACTCCTTCAAATGTGAAAGACCATTGTATCTCTACTAAATGAGCAAAGGATTTGACCCTTTTCACAACAAAGAATGTAAATGATAGGAAATATTTGAACATTCTTTCTTCTTACAAGTAAGCAGAGTCCAGTAGCAGCTGTCTTGAAGCACCGTTGTTTATCTCCTAAATCAGCAAGTTATTTTCTTTTCAAAATAGTAACACACGACTGAGAACTTCATGGTGAAAGTGACTCACCTGTGCCTGGGTGGCACAGCTGTAACCTGCGGTTTGACGCCCTCATGTGGCGGCGCCGCCGTGAGGCTCAGAGCCACGAAGGGTTCAGACACTTAGCCTGATGTGCAGGTTTGCTTGGGCCACCATGCAAAGCGCCCCTGATGGGATGGCTTGGACAGCAGCAGTGTATTTCTCAGAATTCTAGAGACTAGAGATCCAATGTCGTGGTGTTATTGGGTTGATTTCTTCTGCGGCCTTCTCCTCGGCTCCTCGTCAGTGGCCTTCTCCGTGCGTCCTCCCAGGGACCACCCTCCGTGTCCTACTCCTCTCCCGATGAAGACGCCGGTTATATCGGATGAGAGCGCATCCTAACGACGGCATTTCACCGTAATTACTTCTTCATAGGCCCTGTCTCCAAATACTGTCCTCTTCAGAGGAATTTGTGAGGGCTGCAACATAGGAATTTGGTTAAGGAAATAATTCAGCCGATAATACCACTCCTGTTAACTTGTTCTACGGAAGTAATTCAAATAAAGGGGACAGTATGTGCAGAAAAGTGTAGTGTTTCAGTGTATCAGCCAAAAACAGCTACCGTATTTATAGCAGAAGTTAAATAATTTGTAACATCCATTCAGTAAGCTGTCTTGAAACCATTAAAAATTTTAAAAACTTTATCTGCATAACAACATTTAAAAAATTGTAACACCTGGGGCCAGCAGGTGGTGTGGTGGTTAAGGTGCTGGATTCCCACATGGACAACTATAGTTCAAGTCCTGGACCCAGTAATAGGTCCGGATTCATGTGTGTTCCCAAAATCCCAAGAGGAGGATGGAGAAGGGATCGAAGTGTGGCCATTCCCCCACCTAAGGGTGCTTTCTCACTTTTCCTCTCTCTTTCTCCTTCTCTCTCTCTCTCTCTGCCTCTTTCCTTCTCTGTCTTTCTCCAGGGACTGCATGAGCCCTATAGCAAAAACCTGAAAAAAAAATTGTAGCACATATGAGAAAAATGGAACACAGACATCATGTGATTGTGAAAGTGTGCACACAGACAATTACTGGAGAGAAAATTAAAGAAAAATAATTATTTTTATGGTGACCCACCTGTGGATGACCTCTTTGTATTCTTCAAACTATTTTCATTTAAAAAAAATTTAGCGACAAAAATAGCATGGGTTAGAATGAATAATGGGTAGTAAGACAGTAAGGCTCTGTGGTAGGTAGAACTCGATTTTTAATATCTCTAGTTAGAATTTTGGTCAAAACCGGGGAAAATGCAGACAACTGGAGGCTCACCATGTTCACTCAGCCCCTCTCAGCAGTGGGGAGGTGAGGGCTGGGAGCTGACAGCGTCAAGATGCCGGCCTGGCCTGTGCGTGGGCAGACCGGCCACGGTGCAGAGAGGAACGTCTCCATTCCCTGCAATCTTGGGCTGTTTATGCTTTCATTCTCTGTTTTGTCCTAAACATGCACAGAATAATTGTCTGTGTAGTGTCGCCTTGAAAATGGGCCTTATAAAGTAGACTGGCCATTCTGTACTTCATGGTAAGAATTAAACCAGGGGGAACATCAGGAAAAGGAAATACAGTCAAGTCCCCCACGTCTATGTTCCCTGCTTCATTCTAAGAAGCTAAGCCAGACTTTCCCTCCAGACCTTCCCCCATCAGCACCCAGGGTCTGCAGGCCAGCAGGCTCAGCCTCTGCCTTTCTCCAAGGAACCTCGGAGTGGGTCAGGCCACAAGGGAAGCACTGTCTCACTGCCAGACTGTTAGCCTTGGGCTTTCTCAGCCTGATGGCCAGGTGAGCTTTGGAGAGTAGACAGCCCAACCTCCTGACTGCCTACCTGCCCGCCCAGCTCCCTTCCTGCCAGGACACAGCAGCTTCTGAAAAGCTGGGTGCATCCAACCAGAAGCTGATTTGAAGGATGCTGTTGCACTGGAGAGGAAAACACAAAGCAGGGAGGGAGTGAGAGGAGTGGCAGCTGCAGGCGTTGACAGCACCCCTGTCTCTTCCTCAGGCTGGAAGAATCCATCACTCCCTTCCTAGGAGTTGGTCAGGCCCCAGAGGGAGAGCTAGTGAGTAAACTGAACGAATAATAAAGATGTCTCAGCCTTGAAAACTTACTCAGGGCAGCAAAGAAAGTCTTACCCTGCAGTGCTTGGACTCAGCCTCTCACCTGTGTGTTTTTCAAACACTTGCCTGAAGCTTCCTGGCACATACCCCACTCTCTCCTAGAGGGTCCAGGGCAAGGATCCTTTAAGGGGGAGCCAAAAATAACGACACCCCAGTAACTCAGACGCCCTCCGTGTGTGCACGCATGGGTGGAGGTAGCAGCATAGAGTGACAGTGTGAGCTTGGGAGTCATTCGCTCGTTCGTTCATGCATTCACTCTACAGCTCTTGGTAAGCTCCTAGCACATGACCAAGCGTTCTGGGTGGGGGGATGCAGGGATGAACACAGGAAAGATCTCTGTTCTGGAGGAGCTCATATTCTGGAGAACAAACAAGTAAACTCGACCGAGGTGAGGGTTGCTCGTGCACTTTTCCACGCAGCAGCCACATGACATGCGGCACGTGCCTTTGACCCACGGGCCCTTCGCCGGTTAGGTGGGATTAGAACTGTGTCAAAGAGATGTCTGAAGGCTCGTGATGAAGCGCCGGGCAGTGTTTGGGGACGTGAGTGGTGGACACTGTTATAGGAATGTCCCGACCCGGGGGGACAACCGAACGGGTTTCCTGAGTGAAGGAGTGAGAGCCAGGGCAAGCAGCGTAGTGTTACAGCACGGAGACGACAGTGTCGTCTGTTTATTGTGGGCAGCACAGTACAGCACAGAGATGACGCAGTGTCACAGCTCTTAAGGGTCGCGTCGTCTACTGTGAGCAGCACGGAGATGACGCGGTATCACAACTCTTCAGGGTCGTCCGGAGACGATGTAGTGTTACAGCTCTTCAGGGTCTCCCAGGTCGTCTGGAGACGATGCAGTGTCAGCTCTTCAGGATCTTCAGGGTCGTCTGGAGACTGCGCGGTGTTTCA